AGAAATTAAAGTAAATGATGAAATTTATTCAATTATATATCCATATATACATTTAGGACCATGATTGGTGCACACTCGAATTCAAAACCTGGGTGTACACACTCCACATAAAAAAAAAATGGACCGGGTGTTCTCCATTTTTTTTTTATGCGGAGTGTGCACACCCGGGTGTTGAATCCGGGTGTGCACACATCATTTTCCATACATTTAATGATAACAAAGAACAAGTAATGATGAAAATGGCATGGGTGATTACATCTATGTATATATATACATATATGGAGGACCTATGCTAAAAGAAGGGAAAAAAAAAAAGACGCTGAGATAGAGATCTAAGGAGGATGATGGTGTAGCCGGCTGGAGGATGATGGTGCATGCAGCAAGCCGCGTGAGAAGAAAGGAGGGCATGCATGGGAGGATGTGTAGAGAACTGCAGAAATGCATGCCCCTTGTTGCGGAGATGGCTGAGAGGGTTGGGGAGGAGAGGTGCGTGCAGTTCAGATGATGGTGCACGGCAGCTAATAATTATTAAGGAAGAAGGCATGAGATCTGCAAAAAGGCAAGGAGAGAGGTGATATAAAAAGAACTTTCAGCAATATAGAATTATGTTGCTGAAAGTTTACCACCTTATCAGCAACATACTCCATGTTGCTAAACTTTATTTGAATTTCAACTCCCTACTCATCACCAACATGCACCATGTTGTTAAAACTTTAAACCATTACTTCTCCCACCTTCTCCCGCCAGCCACACTATTGAATAAAAAAAAAAAGATTACATTTTAATTAATTGTTAATCTTTAAAAAATATAATTTATATCTAAATTTTAATTTATAAGTTGGTTTTGTTTACTCTATTAAATTTTATTTAACATTTGTCAAATTAATATATATAATTACATTTTATATTAATATTTTGAAATAATTACAAACTCTATTTTATCTAAAAAAATGTGGACATACATATCAAGTTACATAGACATTTCACATAAAAGTATCCTAATATTTAATTTGTCAATAGTTGACTTTTTAAACTAACAGTCGACTCTTTTTCACTAAGAGTTGATTCTTTTTAGAAAGAGTCGACTCTCAATACCAAGAGTCGACTATACCCAGCAACACAAGGTTCCCAATTCTTTGAAATTTGGGAGTCGAATGTTAAATCTCTATAGTCGACTCTTTTTAAAAAGAGTCGACTCTTAGTAATAAGAGTCAACTGTACCTAGCAACCCAAGGTTCTCAACTCTCTAGAATTTGGGAGTCAAATGTTAAACCTCTATAGTTGATTCTTTTTATAAAGAGTTGACTCTCAAAAATAAGAGTCGACTATACCCAGTTAACCGAGGTTCTCAACTCTCTAGAATTTGGAAGTCGAATATTAAACCTCTATAGTCGATTCTTTTTATAAAGAGTCGACTCTCAATAATAAGAGTTGACTGTACCAAGCAACCCTAGATTTTCAACTCTTTGGAATTTAGGAGTCGAATGTTGAGTCTCTATAGTTGACTCTTTTGATAAAGAGTTGACTCTTTTGATAAAGAGTTGACTCTAAATAATAAGAGTCGACTATACCCAGCGACCCAAGGTTCTCAACTCTCTGGAAATTGAGAGTCAAATCTTGAAATCATATAGTCGACTCTTTGTTTTTTGGAATCAAAGCTGGGTTTGTAAATTCGACTCTTTATTGCTTAAAGAGTCTACTCTATCCTGAGCAGAGTTTTCCTCCTTTTTCGTAAGTCGAATCTTTACCTTCCATGGTCCATGGACGATGATAAAAAAGAATCAAATATATTCTTTGATAGCCGACTCTTTACTGGATGTTGTGCCAACTTTGCAATCAATACTCGAATTTTGCCACATCCCTAACTATTGTACTAGGTCTTATTGTATTTTGATTTTACCATAGCACCTTTTTTCAATTTATCACATAATTGCAAATATGTAGTAACTATATAATTTCCCTATGTCCTAATCATTATTTTAAAGATAACTATATAAATACCACATGTAGCATTTAATATGACCATTTCCATAGTCTAAACCTACAGCTCACAACAATTCAGTTAATGTTACTACAAACCATTCAATCCCAAATGACATATACACCCATGTCATAACAAATTAAAATCATCCATCCCAAAACTGAAAGTATTTTGATCAAATTGCAAGAACATGCACATTCATCATTCAGGCCCAAATGGACTCTAGTAATCTATATCAAATCTTGGTTGGTAACCATAATCATCTAGCGAGGGATTTACCGGGGCTGTATCGGGAGCTTCTGACTATCTCCCCATTTGACCCATGGGGAATGCTGGTTCTATTGGGAGTTGCATTGGCATTGCATGCATAAAAGATGGGCCAGTGGGAGGAAATGATGACCCTACTACACGAAATGCTTGCCTAGCATGAGTCAATGATGGGGTAGCATTAGGGGGGCACATCCCATAGGCAGTAAAAGCAGTGAATTGCTGCAATAGAGCATCATGCATCCTCCCATATCTTCCAGCATACGTTGCATTGATTCTCTTTGCTGCTTCACTTGCCTTATTTCTTCTCGCATCTGTTGCATTGCCTTGCTATCTCTTGCTTGTTTTTCTGCTAGATCTGATATCATCAAGCTCATGTATGAATTCCCCGTTAGTGGTCTTTTTCTATATGTAAACCTAAGTTCCTCTAGGTTTACTTGCGACCTAATTCCGGGCATGAAATTGCTGTGGCATCCCCCAACAGCAACTGCCCATGCTTTATTGTCCTGTGGTGGCCATGATGCTGACTCAGACCCATGTGTAGCAGAGCACTCAACTACATACGTGTCCTACAAAAGTAGTGCACAAAAATCTTCAATCTATGGCTACAACTTTAGGAATGTTTTATACATGTAACAATGCTAATAAATGTTACCATTATTATTTTCAAATAACTGATAACTAAGTACCAATCATCAAAAGCAAACCAATACAAACATCTATTTCAGAAAGACGCACACATACTAATACTTACTGATGCAAAATTTTTGATATATTTTATTTACCACCACTAACTTCGTAATAAACCTTTTATTTACTTTTGGTAACAATCCATATCACTCATAGAAACTTGTTATCTAGTATGTTTGCACTTGTATGACGAGTCTTATGTTTTTTGCCACACCATGGAGCTTCCTGGTCTCGGGGGACACCTTTTCTCAAAGTGTGAGTTTCCTTGTACAGGTCTTGGTGTGCTGGCCTTACCCTTTCGGCAGCTTTGGTTTGTGTGATATAACCATATTATGACAATTAGCAACTCATTTATATTTTTAGTTAATAGATAATTATATAGAAAATACTATTACTTGTGTTCATTATCTATTATATATATACACTTTTCTTTCTTTTCCTGCTTACCATCCGTTCTTCGTGTACATCAAAACTTATCGATCCTGTAGTGTGTAACTCGCTCCCTAGTTGCCTGGTTTTTCTTCTCCCTCTCATTGAGATTGTGAAACTTATTAGAATCCTAGTAAGCGCATAAGTTAGACCATAGGTGCTTAGGCACCCATAGTGGCCTGTAGTCACTGTTTTCACACCACTTATCTTGTTCATCCTTCATATTATCACCCCATCCTTTCTTCATTGATCTTAAGAACACCTTACGGATTGCATCCTCATGCTCTATATCCTATTGATAATGTGCCTATCACCATATACAAACAAATTATTTCCATGTACAATAATCACATGTAATATAATAACATAGTATATACGCCATATATAATTTTTTCCTACATACTTTGCATTTAATACATAGAATATTGTCAACTTCACCATTTTCAATACTAAGTACTAGCATTTACTTTTATATATCATAATTTTGAATGCCAACCTTGGTATTTTTGATAAGTTATTGACTTCCATGACAATTTATTTAATTTTACTTAAGTATCATTCTTTTCATATGAAAGACCTAATTGAAATTAATCAAAACTTTTAATACCATTTTGACAAACTTAGAAGTATATCAATTTTTCTATCAAATGTAGGATCAAATAGTTTAACCAAAGACAACCATAAATTGGTTAACCATATACCTTACTCTTGCTATGCCTTGCCTATTATGTTTTTTGTTAAAAAATTTTGTTAAGGTGTATGCAATACTCACACCATTAAATTACCTTTTTCGGCCAATGCACTTACAATAGTGAATTTGGCTTTACCATAAATGTTATTACAGTTAGCATTAATCATATGCAACATATTACATGGAAGGATTATGTATTAAATGATAAGTATTCTTACCTTAAACAGCTCCCATAGTTGCACCCTCTTGTGTTTTGGGAACAACTCATATGTGAAGTAGTCACCATCGTATAGCCTCTTCCACAGAGTCATAATCAATCTCGGGACCTCAACATCCAAGAATGTACCCTTATGCCAAAGATGTATAAATGGTCTCTCATTTGGTCTTCTTGCAGCCTTCTTTGGTTTGTTCGGACCTCTTCCCTTCTGCCTCTCTTTATGGGATAAGGCTGTTGTATGAATAGAACCTTGTGGACTAATAGATTGAGTATGGCCCATGCCCATTACTGGGGTAACATCACATGTAAGATCTACAGCGTCTTGCCATCTTCGTCTCCCTGAAGTGCTATGACTGCGTGCAGAGTTCATGGGCCCAGCCTACATCCTACAAAACATATTGTCATAGAAAAGAGGTAAGTACTCATGTCACCAAATAAATATGTGTCCAGATTATCAATTTTCCTTTTTTAAGCATTTACAACATCATAAATAACGGTAATGAAACAAAATAGAAGCAACAATCACTACTCATTACAAAACATATTTGGTAATTATGCTTTTTTTGTACACAAGAAATTTTTTTTACCACAAATTTTAAAACTAATATATTACATGAACTTCAAATTTTAAACTATTATCCCGAGTCGCTACTATTGTCATCAACATCCCGGGTTGTTTCATATTCTTCATTTCCTTCACTCGCATATGTATCAGACTCATCGTTTGCATTTTCATTTAATTCAACCACTGTTGCTCCTTTTGCATGCAGATGCACGCGTTCTGTAGATGCCAAATCAGAACTACGCTCAATTGATGGTGTGGATGGTGGCTCATTATCTTGGAATATTTCTTTAATATCAATTGAGACTGAAGAAGTGTCACTCAAATGTCTAGCACGTATTTTGCATGCAGCGAACCATCCACAAGTTGCTCGATTATCTGCCAGGTAACTAGTGTAATACAAGGCCATCTAGGAGCCGTGAGTAGCATGCCACTCTAGGAGCATAGAAAGGGCAACATTGCTCAAAGCTGATAAGGTTTCGAAAGATGGCTTCTGAAGTATTGTGAATTGCTAACGTCAGAATTTCTAAAACACCATTCTTGAATCTTACATCCAAGATTCTTCTTGATTCAACTCTTTTGAATTTGACCCCTGATTCTTTGAGTCTAGTGGCAGAAGGAATTGTATGCTTATACAATTCTAAAATACTACTTCCCACTTCTGATGACAAACCCAAGTAATGCCTTGCTAGATCAGGGATATGTTTGATCTCAATGGTGGATCGTATCTCAGGCTATGTCTGCAATTTATCATGTGAAAATGCAAACCTGATGAAGAATTCCGTAGCAATTTCAGCCAAAGGCTTGCTTCCATTGCCACTGGTCCGGTCATACAAGAGTTCAAGCACAAGCCAAGGTATTTGGTTTTCTAGCAAAAGCAAGTCATGAAGAACAGCTATAACCATGACATTTGAAGAGAAAAGTGTCGAATCTCCTTCCTGCATAGGTACCTCAGTAGCTGACTTCCGAAGCAACTCGATGATAAAGCAGCCATCCAGCATCAGAATTTTCTCAAATTCTTCTTTGGTGACATTGATGGCAGCCCAATCCTCATAACATTGACAATTGCGGCTTTGAACATCCTTGATAACTTGTTCCAGCTCTTCAACCATTGAATCTGGATTTGGGAAACGATGAACAAGTCTTTGAAAAAAAGTATATTTTGAACTTTTGTGCATCCATGAGATGTTGCTTGCCAAAATGCCAAGGACCAATTGAAAAGACGTAGGGCTCATAAGCCTGCGCATTTTGCTTCTTGATCCTGTCTGGAACTCTGAAGATGCAGGTATTTGTAGAGATGAAAGAGTCACCTAAAACCATTGTTTTGTACCTCGATATTAAATGGATATCCAGTGCAACATGTTCTCTGTTACCTTCTTCTGCCATAACGAGTGATAATGGATCTCCGTTGCTTTCTCCTCTGATGTATATACACATACGCCACTGTGTTAGCTGTCCATATTTCCATAGTAGGAAACTTGTAAACACTCCTAAATCTTTTAGAGTTGAGATTGATAAACATTAATTTCAAGAAAAAAAAGAAAATCAATTAAACCACTTAATTCAATCAGAATTAAAAGCAACAACCATGTTTTTTTTGGCCAACCAACAATCATGTTCAAAATTCCTAAAAAAAAAAATCATTTCCAAAAAATATGTTTTTCTCTAACCTTAAAGTTTGAATAACGTTTGATATTAAAGATGCATATCTCAAAAAAAAATTTTTTTTAATTAATTAAATAAAAAGAAACTAACTAGTTAGTTAATAGTGCAAAAACATAAAAGTAGACAAAAATTTTTACGTACGAATTCCTAGAAATGTTACTTCTTGCTTAATGGGCGAAATAATTAAGTGTTTTAAGGTACGTAAGAGATCGATAATCCTGAAGAAAGAGCAGTTACGCTTCTGATGGTGAGTAGAGAAGAGAAAAGGAGGACCAAGAGATGGAAGGAGAGGTTTGTTTGTTTGTTTTTTTTGGGCCAACCAAACTCCCAAAGTATAGGTTTGGTAGTAGAATATTCTTCTTTCCATTCTTTCTTTTTTAAAATATTAATTTAATCTTTAAAACTTCTAGATTTAAAGTTTAGATGAAAATTTATTATATCATATAAATAATGATTAAACCTTTTTTTA